CGCCTGGCTGTTTTTTGGTTGCAGCCGTCATTGTTGTTTGGCATGTCCAGGCTGGATTTGAACCTGCCACCTTAGGTGTATGTGGCTGGCGCCTTAGCCGGTTGAGCTACAGGCGCCGAGTCAGATTACTTTGAAAATTAAACCCACAGGTAATTTTAGTTTTTAAAAAGATTTCTGAAAATAATTTAAGTTCCATTATTTACCTGTGTGCTTTCCCTCTCCACTTGTAAGGCTGAGCTGAATCAGGATTTATTTCAATGGCTCTGTCACAGTCTCGGATGGCAGCATTTGGCTTCTGTAATTTGATGAAGACACTAAAAAATAAATGTGAAATCAAAAAAGTATTCACATGAGGCAATAAAACCTTTGGGAAAACCAAAGAAGCAATTTTATTTGAACAAATGAGCAGCAATTAATTATTCACTTGGGGACGCTTTCCAGTTCAGTTCTCACCTGGCTCTCTTGGCATACAAAATGGCCAACCGAGGATTCAGCTTGATGGCATCTGTGAACAAGTTGATGGCTTTCTGTAGCTCACCTAAAGTAGAACAAAAGTTACAGAGAACTATTCAGAGGATAAAAATATACAAGTACTGGGTACTGTGCCTTACACCTGCAATCTTAGCACTTTGGGAGGCTTAGGCAATAGGATCACTTAAGGCTAGGCATGAGATCAGCTTGGTCAACGGTCAACAAAGTAAAACTCTGTCTCTGTAAAAAATAAAAATAACGTCAGCTAGGAATGGTAGCTAGTGCCTGTAGTCCTAACTAAGAGACTGAGGTAGCAGGATCATGTGAGCCTAGCAGTTCAAGGCTATACTGAGGGAGGATTATGCCATTACATTCCAGTCAAGACTATCTCTTAAAAACAAAAAACTGGCTCTTGAAAGCATACTCACCTTAGACACAGACAATTTCTGGGTATATAATACCCCTTAACAGTAGAATACCATATTCTTAGACCAATATTGACTTTTTTTTCTTTTGAGGCAGAGTCTCACTTCATCACCCTAGGTAGAGTATTGTGGCGTCATAGCTCATAGCAATCTCAAACTCCTGGGTTCAAGGGATTCTATTACCTCAGCCTCCCAGTAGCTGGGACTATAGGCATCTGCCACAACATCCAGCTATTTTTTTTTTTCAGACAGAGTCTTATTATGTTGCCCTCAGTAGAGTGCCGTGGCATCACAGCTCCCAGAAACCTCGAACTCTTGGGCTTAAGCGATTCTCTTGTCTCAGCCTCCTGAGTAGCTGGGACTACAGGTGCCTGCCACGACGCCCGGCTATTTTTGGATACAGTTGTCATTGTTGTTTTAGCAGGCCCACAGGCCTGGCTCAAACCCGCCAGCTTTAGTGTATGTGGCTGGAGCCCTACTCCCTGAGCTACAGGCACCGAGCCTATATTCAGCTATTTTTATTTTTATTTGAGACAGAGTCTCACTATGTTGCCCTGGGTAGAGTGCCATGGAGTCATAGCTCACAGCAACCTCAAACTCTTGGGTTTAAGCGATTCTCATGCCTCAGCCTTCCAAGTAGCTGGGACTACAGGAGCCCGCCACAATGCCTGGCCATTTTTTGGTTGCAGTTGTCATTGTTGTTTGGCAGGCTTGGGCTGGATTCGAACCTGCCAGCTTTGGTGTACGTGGCTGGCGTCTCCCAAGTAGCTGGGACTACAGGGATCCGCCACAGCACCTGGCTATTTTTAGAGATGGGGCCTCACTATGGCTCAGGCTGGTCTTGAACCTGTGAACTCAGGCCAATTTATCTGCCTCGGCCTCCCAGAGTGCTAGGATTACAGGCGTGAGCCACTGTGTCCAGCCCTAATATTGATTTTTTAATTAAGAAAAAAGTTAAGGCTCGGCGCCTATAGCTCAACTAGCTAAGGCGCCAGCCACGTACACCTAAGGTGGCAGGTTCGAATCCCCAGCTCGGACCCGCCAAACAACAATGACAGCTGCAACCAAAAAATAGCCGGGCGTTGTGGCGGGCGCCTGTAGTCCCAGCTACTTGGGAGGCAGAGGCAGGAGTTTCGCTTGAGCCCAGGAGTTGGAGGTTGCTGTGAGCTGTAATGCCATGGCACACTACCCAGGGGGACAGCTCGAGGCTCTGTCTCAAAAAAAAAAAAAAAAAAAAAAAAAAGAAGTTAAGAGATAACATCAATTTAGAGGACAAGGTAAATAGTTTTATTCCATTGATTTTCTTTTATCCATTACATTAAAAGGATTAGATTAAGCTTAAAAGGAAAAAATTACCCACACTAACTTTACAGGCTGATTTTTTAAAACCAGAACAATATACTACTGAAAAAAAGGTACAAAAACTCAAGAAAGCTAGAACTCATAAAAGACCACAACCTATTATTCACATATTTAACTTCCTTATTAGTCTCAAGAGCAGTGGCTCATGCCTGTAATCCTAGCACTCTGGGAAGCTAAGGTGTGTGGATTGCTTAGGCTGAGAAGTTGAAGAAGAGCCTGAACAAAAGCAAGACTCTGTCTATACTAAAAATAGAAAAATTAGCTGGGCGTTGTGCCGGTTGTCTGTAGTCCCAGCTACCTGTGAGGCTAAAGCAAGGGGATCACTTATATCCAAGAATTAGAGGGTGCTGCGAACTAGCATGTCATGGCACTCCACCTAGGGTGAGAGTGAGACACTGTCTTAACAAAAAATTTTTTTTCAAGAGATTAAACATACTATAAAATTAGAACAGTTTTTTGTACAAAGTCTAATTCTTGGGGGAGATAAGAAAAACAAATTTTTAAATAACGTCGCAATTCACCATGAAAAATATTTACACAGTGAATGAGTTAAAGGACTTTAAAAGAACTCATGAAAATAAGACAAAAATATTCAGTCCTTACTCACCACTATGGTAACTTAAAAACTTACCAAAACTTAAGTTCCTATGGATATCTACTGTAGGTAATTATGCATGTATCTCTCTAATAAGCAACTCATACCTACCATCCTCAAAAGGGAACTCTTAATTCCCAGATCATCTCCGAATCTATTCCCTATCCTTAGCTTCGGTATTTACTAATAAATGGTTTCTCCTATCATCTAGTCATGAGTTGGTAAACTTTTCCTGGAAAGGAGCACACAGTAATTTTAGGCATTAAGAGACCATAGTGTATATAATAACTACTCAATGATGCTCATATAGTGGGAAAACAGCCATAGTAACACACGAGGTTCAAATCAAGGCACTCTATTGCATGGGGCCAGGAGGTCAAGGCCAGACTGAGCAGTAGTGAGACTGACCTCTGTCCCTTACAAATAATTTAAAAATTAGCCAAGTGTAGCAATGTGCACCTGCCCTTTCCCATCAAAGGTACCCTGGCTCCATAGTCCAGCTTTTAACTATGTTCTTCAAACAAAAGTGCCTTTGGCCAGACCACGTGAGGCTTGAACTCAGACCTCTAGCTTAGAATACTAGTGTTTTATCACTTAGAATATACTAGAGAATTGCACAAATAGGAAAATTAGAACTACATTAAATTTACACATAAACATAAACAGAGAGCATAGAAAGATATGGAAAACAAAAACATTATTTATTAGGTGGTAGGGTCATTTTCATTTTATTAAATATTGGTGAGACAATAAATAATAAAATGGGGGGGAGGACAATACCAATATAAGTGAAAAAAAATAATGAAGTAAGTTTGGTGTCTCATGGGCATTCTAGAAGGCCCAGACAGGTGGATCTCTTGAGCTCAAGAGTTTGAGACCATCCTGAGCAGAAGTAAAACTTTACCTCTACTAAAAATAGAAAAATTAGCTGGTGGTTGTGGTGGGTGCCTAAAGTCCCAACTATTAAGGAGATTGAGGCAAGAGAATTGCTTACGCCAAAGAGTTTGATGTTGCTGTGAGCTATGATGATGCCATGGCACTCTACCCGGGGTGATAGAGTGAAACTCTGTCTCAAAAAACATTGAAATAAGTAAAGAAGATCACTGCAGAGAAGTAGTGAAGCAAAAGTAACAAAACACTCTAGGCTGGGTGCGGTTGCTCACGCCTGTAATCCTAGCACTCTAGATGGGCAAGTGGATTGCCTGAGTTCACAGTAACAAGATCAGTCTGAGCCAGAGTGAGACCTCTAAAAATAGCCAGGCGTTGTGGAGGACCTGTAGTCCCAGGGACTCCAGAGGCTGAGGCAAGAAGATTGCTCAAGACCAAGAGTTTGAAGTTGCTGTGAACTATGATGCCACAGCACTCTACCCAAGGTGACAAAGTAGAACTCTATCTCCAAAATATATATATATATATTTAATAAATCTATTAAGTACAAATGCTCCCCAGCATTACATGCCAGGCTCTATACAATAATGGCAATGTGACGCACTGCCACACAGATATGAAGAGGTATGCTTGGAAATGTTATTGATAGTATCTACAGTATCCAAGTTTATAAATGATGTATTCTTACAAATTATAACAGATTAAACATATTTAATACTCTTGGCACTCTCTCACTTTGACAGGATTTTTGGAAGAGGACCTAATATGCAAGGACTAGAATAAGAAAGGTATGCCCCAGGTGCAGTGGCTCACACCTGTGATTCCAGCACTCTGGGTAAATGTAGTGGGTGGATTCTTTGAGCTCAGGAGTTCAAGACCAGCTTGAGTAAGATCAAGACCCTGTCTCTACCAAACACAGAAAAACTAGCCGGGTGTTGTGGCAGGTGCCTGTGGTCCCAGCTACGCAGGAGACTCAGGCAAGAGGATTGCTTGGGGCCAAGAGTTGAGGTTGCTCTGAGCTATGACGTCTTGACACTCTACAAACGGGCAACAAAGTGAGACTCTGTCTCAGAAAAAAAAAAAAAGTGTTGTTGTAATGCTAGTTTATTTTTTAACCTTTCACCTTTTACAAGCCTTTTATCAGCAAAGGAAACTAAGATCCAATAATGGAAGCAGAGGCTTTGAGTCATATCAGATCTGTACATACAGAAGCAAGGTAGCTGACACTGAGTGATTTCAACTTCCGTACTAATGAATATGCTATAAACTTAAGTTCCTTTCTAGTTTCCCACTATTTAACAGTTAATGCAGGAGAAAGAATACTCAGACTACCTAAGAAATTGAGCAAAGAGGCTCGGCACCTATGGCTCAACAGGCTAAGGCGCCAGCCACGTACACCTAAG